CAATTCACCAACCTACATGCCAGAGTCAACTGACATCGAAATTAATAGATGGAAGAAAACGTTCCGATGAAAACCATTTCCCCTATATAGGTTCTTATATGTTCTTATATAGGTTCTTATTATTTTGTGAAATGATCTTGGGAATGCTCAGGAAGCCGACGAGTCCACACAGGACCCCGACGGGCGGTGGTTCTCCTTTGATCTTTCCGTGGCTGAGAATGCCTATATCATCTTGGAAAAGAAATCCTTGCCCAACCACTTGCAGGGGTTGGAGAATGCTGACACCCCTGTCTTGCTGCAGTCCCTGGTCAATGACTTGCAGGATCTCGGGGAGGCTTGTGGGAACAAATTGAATAGAGTTTATCCCAAGGCTAGAAGAAATCATAGCTAGGTTTTCCACACTAATTTCAACATCGAATTTATGCCTCACAGTTCTTTCAGGGCACAGTCGAAAGACATTGTCTAAACTCATTTTTGCGTGGTGACCTTTTTTCAGTTCTGTTTGTCCCAAATGGAATTAAAAAGGACGCCTTCCAACTTTGAACCATTGTTGATAGGTGAAGGTCGAACTGTCCCACCATGAGCAAGATTCGGATGGGAAATGGCGATCAGCGAAGAATCTTGTCTTCGTGCTTGACCAGTTGCAGGATGATGATACCCGCACTACCAAGCAGGAGAAGAAACGGAAGAAAACATCACCCATCACTGCCAAGACATTTGGCGCCTACGTGTCTATCGCGGCCGCAAAGAACTCGGACAACCTCTGCCTGGCATGGAGATGCAGGACATTTCCATGTTGATGTTTTGAAAACATTTGTTCTGGGTAGTGCTCCAACAACCCTCGAAAATGTCGAATTTAAACTTAAACCGTCAACATTAAACTGTGCCTTCAGGATGGATGCTTCTGCTGCGAACTCTAAGGGGGGCAGAGTCATCATGCCCATTCGTCCAGTCATGCTGCTGAAGTACCAGCTCGAAGTCAACAATGAGACAGTTTGCTTGGTGTGAGTGAGCCACGTTGATCCGGTACAAACTGGATATACTATATCTACTCCCTGTGACCTGAGAAGTGTGGGGGCGGAACACTATCCTTTCCATTCAAAGTCTAATGATCCCAAAAAAATCCCATAAACAAATCTTCAAAATAGCTAACTTTGGGAAACACGCTTTTCAGGAGGTCGTTGCCTTGAAGCAGGGGCACTCTTAAACTGAGTGCTTGCTATCTTTTGTTGGGCAAACCGCTTGCCTATTGAATTTCTCACACGATGGCCGAGCCCCTCATGCAATTTATATTGATAATTTTCTTCAATTTTAATTTTGTTGTAGATTGTTCTAGAATAATTACTTTGTGAATCAAAATTGAGGGACGTTACCGGAAGAGATCAAACAACATGGGTCAGAAAAAAAACAATTGCCAAATATTTGCTGGTTTATTCCATCACAGAACACCTACACTGTGAGAATCAATGAGATTGGATCCCGTGCAACCAGTGCATTTTCCTATCTTTGAGCAGGGTTGTAGTCGTCAGCGTTTGTTTCATGGCGAGCTTGAGTCAAGATGATGATGATTCAGTTGTTGAAGTACCCTTGGTGACGGCACCTTTCCGACCACCAGCCCCTTGGCATGGAAGATTAAAAGATGGGTGCCTAAGGGAAGTTCTTACCCCCCAGGATTGAAAATTAAAAGATTGGTGCCCTGATAAATGCACATCGAAAATCATCGCAAAGTTCTTATCCGCTGAGGCGTTTAACCTGCAGCGGCTTCTCTCTTCGAACACTTTGCAGAGCCCACCGCAGAGATCGACTACCCCGACCACGCCTTCTTCAGCAGTGATTGCTCGTGTGCCTGCAGCAGCATCAGCTGGAACTAGAACAGGTGGGAACACTGATGAACTTGGAAGTTCATGGATCCCAATAATCTCTAGAAGATATGCATCTTGGTTTTCCTACATTGGTACCTGAAATTGAATTAAGATACAATGGCCCAGGTTTCATGAATGATTTTCGGGTACATAAGAATAACGATAAAATAAAGATAATAATAAATCTGTTTATTATGTAATCAACTCAACAGCTCCATTTTGGCTCTGTCAGGATCAAGTGGGAGTCATGCTGTCCCTGGCCGTGTTGGGTCTTCTGACTCATCTGGAGATGGTGCCGGGGGGCCAACTAAGAAATCCGGGAAAGGCTCAACAGATCCCAAACCCAAGAAAGAACCCAAACAGAAAAAGAAGGCAAAGAAGGTCATCCCATCCCCGGAAGATGAACATGAGCCAATCGATGATCGTGATGATGATGATAGCGATGAGCAAGATGATGATGGGGTTGAAACTCATGAGCACGATGCTGGCAGCAAGAAGAATCCCATCAAGCGGCCTGCTGCAGCGAAGAGTTCCACCAAGAAGCCGGCCTCGAAGTCCCGTAAACACTGTGAAGAGGACTGCTGTTTGTGGGGTGGTAAGGGAGAAAATAATATTATATTGAGTTCAACAACATGGGGTTTGTACGTTCCAATTAAGATTGGATCCATGGTTATTCACAATCTGGAATTGCGGGTCGGCGCATTATGTATTTTGATTATTATGTTTTTCCCCCTCCCTCTTTCTAATTAATTCAGTCAATACCCCTTTCCTTGACATGCTCCAGGAAGACCTTCCTTCTGAATCCCTGCCATTCGAGTATGCCATTGAGAAGAAACATGAATATGCGGAGCTTGGTCCTTAGGAAGTCCCCAAATATGTTTTGAGATTTTGGAGTGACACATGTTATGATCCATCGTGCTCGCATGTGACTATGGCAGTGGAATAACAGCTTAATATGGTTTCATGGAGAAAAAAAAAGCTCTCTTCCAAGGTTTGTGGATTCCAGTGGCTATTGGCCCGACAATCAGCAGGGCATCTATCCCGATTCAATGACCGCCCCTGCCGCTTTGATGCAATTGGCTGGACAGGGCTCAAACTTTCTATAGCTGTCAAAACGACAATCTAAGGGCATCTTTCCCACAATGACCACCGTTGCCCCTGAAATATTACCGCTTGTTGGATCCATACTAAGGCTGGGTGCCTTGATTCGGATGGCTATGAGGGCAGCGCCATGAAAGATGCGGCGCTGGTGAACGAAGCTTGGTTTGCATCCAAGTGAGAAATACTTGAATTTGTCCTGATATCAAATGTGTTCCATGTTTGGTATGGAAATGTGCACAAAAAACTGAGCTGGCTGCTGCATGCGTTTGAAAAAAAAACAAACCCAGTTTTATCAACTAGGACACATGGCTGGATCCACCAACCCCTGAGAAACGTGAGACCGAGATCCCATGTGCCAAGGTGTCTTGGTTTGTTCTTTTAAAAATGTTGGCAAAAATAAAGTTGCGTGATATGTTCCTAGATAGTTGCTAAGCACGGTAGTCCAAGAACCTGAAAGCCTGAAACTAGTTAACCCTCATGGCATTTACACATTGAAATGTTTCTTGGTTAACCCATTGGTATTATACCAGTCTGGCTGAGGTAGACGAGGCATCCAGCAGCGCTGGCATTCCAGCGCCTGCATGTGAGCCTGCACATGAGGACCTAGCTCATTCCATCCCTGGTCTCACTGTGGTTGACAGGGACCTTTGTCTTGCCACCCTGGCAGGCATTGATGCTTGCTTGTATGAGTTGGGCAAACTTACCTTGTCTGCTTGTGGGGCCCGGGAGGAAGATGCCGCTTCCATCGCCTCCACTCTTCCTCTTGGGAGCCCTTGGGAGGAGTCGGTGGCGGAAGTTTCAGAACCGCGTGCTGAGATTGACGTGCGCAACTCGGAACTCAACAGTGACCAATACATGGACGCGCTCATGGATGATGATCTAGCAGTCCGAGATGACGCCTTGCTTAAGAACCAGGAGGAGAAGGATGTGCAAAAGCGTTTGGATGCTGGCTTCCGTGCCTTGGACAGGCATGAGCTTGGTCTGAAGCCTTGTCCGAAGCCATCTGCCGTCAAAGGCAGGAGCCCCCAGAGCAAGAGTGCAGGAACCCCGCGGAAACCAGTTAGGAAAGCGAAGAAAGTTTCCCAGGCGTCTCCAAAGGCGCTCGCTAAGGCTAAGGCGTCTGCAAAGGCACGTAAGGCTTCTCCAAAAGCACGTGCCAAGGCAGCAGCCAAGGCGTCTGCAAAGGCGCTCGCTAAGGCGTCTGCGAAGGCGTCTGCAAAGGCGCGTGCTAAGAAGTCTGCAGAGGAGTCCGCAAAAAGGTCGCGAGATGAAGAGTCTGATGAAGAGAACAAAAACACGAAGTTGAGTGAGAGTGAGCTCAAGAAGAAGTTGCACAGCGAATCTAGGCTACATTTTTTGGTAACCAAATAGCTTTCTATACTATGCATTTTTTTGAGAAGAAAACAGCGCATCTTGAAGAGTGCTGGAGATTCCTTCTAGCTTTCTGAGGTCTACTCTACCGCTTCGAAGTTGGCAAAATCTCAGGGTAAAGATGTCCGTGCCGAATCTGTCAAGGCCAGGAAGGAGCTCCTTGGCAAAACTTAAGGGGATTTGACGTCATGTCAACATATGTCAATGCTTTATTCATTTTGACATTTGTTTTCTTGATGTTTATGATCCCACTTTACTTGGCCAGAACCTAAGGTGGATTCTGGCCAATGGGTATGAGAACTACGCTATGGCTCGTGGACATCTGTGATCCCAAAACTTGATGATGGTAGATTTGTATGATCCCAAAATTTGATAAAATTTGGTGATTTGATGATGCCAAGCAGTGCATCCAATCAAGTTCGAACGCAGCTGCGGGGAATGCGGCGAGCGGCCAAAAAAAGCGACATCAACATGTCCTGCAGTGGATATGAACATTGTATTTCATTCATCAGATGACATCATACTAAGGGCCCAGTTCCAACTTGGAAAGGACCCAGAAAGGGTTGGACTTTGTTATATATATATATACACATACATATATTTAAAAATATGCATAATTATACAGCGTCCCTAGTAAAATCATCATCCCCATGAAATATGAAATCCCTATGAAACCATCTCCAACCAGCCGATCACAGGGGTTTCTCCATCAACGACTGCCGTCCTGGTGCCCCAGCGCGCTTCTGCAAAGGGCAAGGCATTGACCAAGAGAACCGCCACACCCAAGGCGCAATCGCCGATGGCGCCTGGGCCAAGGTGTTTCACCTAGGGGGGTGGAAGATCTTGCAACTTGCGTGGTGGGAAACCCTACCCAAATGCTCCATGTATGGATTATTTACCTACATTTCCCACAAAAATTGCCCAATTGTAGGGCAATATTCCATACATGGAGCGTCTGGGCTATATTACTAACATAGATGTGGAAAACCCATGGTGTCCTTAGGAAAACAATCTGCAAAGAGTGGTTTTCCCACATCGAACTCTTAATGTAGGCCAGGGTAACCGTTTAACCAATGAAGATGGTTATTCTCCCGACTATGGAACATTGGGGGTACTCAGGCATATAATTGGATAATAATGGATCTCATATAGAGATGGACAATTTAATAGATGGATAATAGATGATAATAGTTGATTTCAACGAACAAACACATGGGATCCCACATGGTGAAAAACCGTAGCTTACCATGAACAATAGGGAATGAACTGATTAACCGAACCAATGAATAGTGGAAAATTGGGGGGGGGTTGGCCAATAACAGCAGTGACACATTGGGGATACAACATGGGTAATTACGGATAATAAATAATCACCAATGTGTCATCCATAATTATCCATAAATCACAATTATAATGATCACATATTATATTATATATATATATATATCATTGTGTGATTATTGATGGTTATCATTATCATAATCCATTATGCCATTGGTGATTATATATTATCTACATCCTGTGTCATCAAAGGTGGCCGGGCAATCCCGGAACTCAATGGAGGTTTCATTCGCTGGAAAAATCATCCAACTAAACGATTGATTTTCCAGCCATGTTTGATTACCGGAATGCCAGATGATATCTGGCGCTACAACATGTTCTTACAACATTGCAGATTAATTAATAACCTGAAACAACATGATGATGATCGGATCCGGAAAGGAACGGTTTCAGGCAACTAATTACAACCCATATATACTGTGTAAATTGTCAGTAATCCACTACTTGAAGGAACCAGATGTATTGACTATTTTCAAGTGAAATCAAGAGTGGCTTGAGTCTGGCGATTTTATGAAAAATTGCGCGTAGACAAACGGGGAGAACACCATGCGTTTAAAAAAACATGTGAAACGACGTTGGAAAACTGTGAGCATCCTTTTTGTTTAACACATATTAAAAATTAACACGATTTTGTACTGGTTGGTGGTTTCAACCCCTCTGAAAAATATGAGTTCGTCAGTTGGGATTATTATTCCCAATATATGGAAAATTCAAAATGTTCCAAACCACCAACCAGTGGCATGTGGTGAAAACTACTAAACTATAGTGAATTGGACATAAAACCCCTCCACGAGAGTCGCCATTTTGGAGTCCACAGAAGTCCCCAGAGGATGATCTTGAAAGTCCCGATTAGTAAGTGAGTGTTTGACTATAACTTACACACTTGATGACTATTAGAGATAAATCATATAATGCATACATATATATATGTGTGTGTGTATGTATGTATGTATGTATTTATGTATGTATGTATGTATGTATGTATGTATTTTTCCCATCGCCATCCGGAAGGTTCAGCATCAGGTTGAGGGCGAGCAGGTGGCTCGATCAAATGAAGCCAAGAAGAGTGCAACATGCAACAGTACGCCCGAGAAAGTGTAAGATCTAAGGAAGTAAATCATGAAGGCAAAATGCGAAACTAGGCGATCTTTGTCCAAAGACTTTAGCCTCCAGCTCACGCCGTCTAGCTTCTCGTCGCATCTCTTTGCCCATCAAATGGGTCGTTCAATGATCTGAGCTTTCCGTTCTTGTTGTGTCAACCTGGTAATTCAGGAAAGCTCTGCTTCTCACTGCGCTGTCCGTCGACGATGTTGTAACAGAAGCTTCCGCACTCTGTAGGCCACCGCATTGACAAACCTCACTCTGTCCGAAGCGGGTGGTGCACTAGAAAAGCGGACATCCTGCAGTTGAACTTGAGATTGCCTCTCTTCCAGGGTACGGCAACGTTCGGCCATTGCCTCCGATTGCTCCTGGGTGCGTCTCAAGAGATTTGCAAGGGTCGCAATCTGTTCCTGCACTGTGCGCGAGATGAGTTCGGAAACCGTCCCTGGGGAAGGGAAATGTTCATCATCGGTCTGCGTAGCAGTGTCATAGGTGTGGTCAGCAGGTTGGTGCTCCCTGACAACCTGCACGAGCAAATACCTAAGATGAATGGTCCTTTTGGAGGTATGTTCTGAAGTTCCTGCTGGTATAGCAAAGCAGTATCCACATGCTGTGCCACACTTCTTGTTTCCTGGCCAAACGTCAGGCATACCCCAAGCATGTCAAAGGCAAAGAATCCATTGGCAAGCAAATAAGGGACATGCAACTGTACACACGTCTACCGTGTAAGGTCTCGCAACCAGAGCTCGAGCAATAATGGCTTGAGCCAAAATGGCTTGTAGCCATTTAAGTATGTATGTATGTATGTGTGTATGTGTGTATGTATGTATGTATGTATGTATGTACGTATGTATGTGTATGTATGCGTATGTATATGTATGTATATGTATGTGTATGTATGTGTATGTATGTGTATGTATGTGTATGTATGTGTATGTATGTGTATGTATGTGTATGTATGTGTATGTGTGTGTATGTATGTGTATGTATGTATGTGTATGTATGTGTATGTATGTGTATGTATGTGTATGTATGTGTATGTATGTGTATGTATGTGTATGTATGTGTATGTATGTGTATGTGTGTGTATGTGTGTGTATGTGTGTGTATGTGTGTGTATGTGTGTGTGTATGTGTGTGTATGTGTGTGTGTGTGTATGTGTGTATGTGTGTATGTGTGTGTGTATGTGTGTGTGTATGTGTGTGTATGTGTGTGTATGTGTGTGTATGTGTGTGTATGTGTGTGTATATGTGTGTGTATGTGTGTGTATGTGTGTGTATGTGTGTGTATGTGTGTGTGTATGTGTGTGTGTGCATGTGTGTGTGTATGTGTGTGTATGTGTGTGTATGTGCGTGTATGTGTGTGTATGTGTGTGTGTATGTGTGTGTATGTGTGTGTATGTGTGTGTGTGTATGTGTGTGTGTGTACGTGTGTGTGTGTACGTGTGTGTGTGTATGTGTGTGTGTGTATGTGTGTGTGTATGTATGTGTGTGTATGTGTGTGTATATGCGTGTGTGTGTATTTGTGTCTGTGCGTCTGTGCGTCTGTGTGTATTTGTGTCTGTGTGTGTCTGTGTGTGTCTGTGTGTGTCTGTGTGTGTCTGTGTGTGTCTGTGTGTGTGTCTGTGTGTGTCTGTGTGTGTGTCTGTGTGTGTCTGTGTGTGTGTCTGTGTGTGTGTCTGTGTCTGTGTGTGTCTGTGTGTGTCTGTGTGTGTCTGTGTGTGTCTGTGTGTGTCTGTGTGTGTCTGTATGTGTCTGTATGTGTCTGTATGTGTCTGTATGTGTCTGTATGTGTCTGTATGTGTCTGTATGTGTCTGTATGTGTCTGTATGTGTCTGTATGTGTCTGTATGTGTCTGTATGTGTCTGTATGTGTCTGTATGTGTCTGTATGTGTCTGTATGTGTCTGTATGTCTGTATTTATGTATGTATGTATGTATGTATGTGTGTGTGTCTGTTTGTTGTGTTGCAGTTACATCCATGGCAAACCTTGGCTAGCCACAACTTTTTTGGGGGGCAGGACGGTCGTATACTCCTCCATTTGTATCCATTTATGGCATGAACAGAATCAGTCAACATACCAAACCAAGCTTCACGCAGTCACCATTTAGCCTCTGGTCATCGCATGGAAATGGAATACCCTCCATCTTTATCATCATCCATGCATTTACCATCTGGTTATGACTACGTAACAGTTTGCCATGGAAAATCCGCATTTTTAATAGCTAAACCATCTATTTCTATGGGCCATCTATACCATGGCGAACTGTTAGTCAATGATTTCCCCATCGGACAAATGGGGTTCCCGCGCCTCCGAGGGCGCCAGTGCGTTCCACGCCAAAGAAGGAGTCAGCCAACCTGGGAGAAGTCACAAATCGTCGTCTCGAACTGGGGCGGTCGGATGAACCAGTCCCTGCACTGCACAGGTGGCAGCATCAAGTTGTCAAGATCTTCCCGCATTGTTGCTAAAAGATTTAAAAGGTCCAAAGCATCAATCATCAATTTGTTGTTGATAGTTGTATGATTCAAATCTCTTTCAGCGCATCAAACCGCCCATCAGCCGCAGCTTCTAAGCTCATCAAGCTGCGCGGTCAAGAAATTTGGTGGTACATGTGTCAGCTGCAAGGCCTCAGAAACCGGCTTCACCAGCGAAAAAAGCATGGGATGTACCATGAACCTACAAACAGCACACGTATAACGTGGCCTTTCCCAATAAAACATGTTTTTTCCCGAATGCGTAGCAAGGGTTTCCGTTTCACTCTGGGGGTCTGGGGGTTGAGGGTGTGTTCGCTCGACGTTGCGTTCGCGAGCGCAACCGTTCGCAACCGTCCGCGCGATCCCCGTATGGCCGTGCCTATGGGAAGTTCTGCAGAGGTGGTCATTTTTGGAGGTTTCAGACGTGTCGTTGCTTCGTTTCGCGTGGCAGGCGTGGCACTTCGTGGCATTCAGACATGTTCTGCAACGTGTCGAAAATCGTTTTGCGTGGCACAATACTTTTGCGACGTTTTCAGAAGATGTGTTGCAGTTTTCGTGGCAGGCGCAGCACTTTGGGCGTGTCCATCGTCATTTTTCGTGGCAGGCGCAGCACTTTAGACGTGTCGCGTTGCGTGTTTTTTGTAAATCGCATTGGCAGGGCTGCGTCAAGTGGCGACAAGGTGCAAATTTCGTGGCAGGCGTGGCATTTTGTGCGATGTGTTGAAAATTGACGGAAGCCTCGCACGAAACATCGATTTTGAGGTTGCAAATTTTCAGGTTCTAAGGAAAACTCGTAGGAAAACGTCGATTTTGAAGCTACAAAGTGTGAAAATTGAGGAAGTCTCGCACGAAATGCTCGTTTTGGTGCTCCCACCTGTCTCGTCTCGCGTCTCTGGTTTTCCCGTGGCCTCGCCGTGTCTATGGGGGAAGCTGCAAAACTTGTCCTTTTGTCATGTTGCCAACTGTGAAAATTGGAGGAAGTCTCGTACGAAATGCTGGTTTTTCTGCCTCCACGTGTCTTGTCTCGATTCCCTGGTTTTCCTGTGGCGTCGCCGTGTCTATGGGGGAAGCTGGAAAACATCTCCTATTCGAATGTGTCCAAGCAGGTTGTCATGTCGTTTTGCGTGGCAAGCGTGGCACCTTGTGACATTCCAACCTGTTTGATAATGCGTTGAAAATGTCAAAATTGCCGGAAGTCTCGTACGAAATGCTGGTTTTTCTGCATCCACGTGTCTTGTCTCGAGTCTCTCGTTTTCCTGTGGCGTCGCCGTGTCTATGGGGGAAGCTGCAAAACCTCTCCTATTCGAATGTGTCCAAGCAGGTTGTCATGTCGTTTTGCGTGGCAAGCGTGGCACTTTGTGACATTCCAACCTGTTTGATACCGTGTCGAAAATATCAAAATTGGAGGAAGTCTCGCACAAAATGCTCGTTTTTTTGCACCCACGTGTCCCGTCTCGAGTCTCTGGTTTTCCTGTGGCGTCGCCGTGTCTATGGGGGAAACTCCGCACTCCAAATTCTACACTTTACACTCCACACTCCACAATTTACACTTTAGATTCCACACTCTACACTTTACACTCCACACTTTACACTTTGCACTTTACACTCCTCACTCCTCACCTGAGACTTTACACTCCACACCCCACACTTTACACTACACTCTACACTTTCCACTCCTCACTCCTCACTCTACACTCTACACTCCACACTCCACACTCTACACTCTACACTTTACACTCCACACTCCTCACTCCACACTTTACTGTACACTCCACACTCCACACTTTATACTTTACACTCCTCACTCCACACTCCACGCTTTACACTCCTCACTCCGCACTTTACACTCCACACTTCACACTTTCCACTCAACACTCCACACTCCACACTTTACACTCCTCACTCCACACTTTACACTCTACACTTTACACTCCACACTCCACACTCTACACTCTACACTCTACACTCCACACTCCACACTCTACACTCTACACTTTACACTCCACACTCCTCACTCCACACTTTACTGTACACTCCACACTCCACACTTTATACTTTACACTCCTCACTCCACACTTTACACTCCTCACTCCACACTTCACACTTTCCACTCAACACTCCACACTCCACACTTTACACTCCTCACTCCACACTTTACACTCCACACTATACACTCCACACTCTACACTTTACACTTCACACTTTAGACTCCACACTCCACACTCTACACGTTACACTCTACACTATACACTCTACACTCCACACTTTACACTTTACACTCCACGCTTTCCACTTTACACTCCTCACTCCACACTTTACACTCCACACTTTACACTCCACACTCCACACTCCACACTCTACACTCCACACTTCACACTCCACACTCTACACACCACACTCTACACTTTCCACTCCACACGCTAAACTCTACACTCCACACTCTACACTTTATACTCTACACTTTACACTCTACACTTCACACTCTGCAATTTACAAACTCCACACTCCACACTCCACACTTTGCACTTTACACTCCTCACTCCACACTCTACACTCCACACTCCACACTCTACACTCCACACTCTACACTTTCCACTCCACACTGCAGACTGGTACCAAGGGAAACATGCACAAGACTGTTCAAATAAACGATTGCAGAAAGGTATTGTGCGTCACTTCATAACCATGTGTTTTGACATCTGTACCATTAACATACGTGTGAGCATTCGGGTTCGTGGGCTTCATCTTGTTTTTTTGCCAGGAACACTAGAAAATGAAGCACTGAAATGTGGATTGTTCTGTCTGGCCAAGCATTTAAACATTTTTCCATGGTTTCCATGGATGGCAGGTTTTGACCTCCAACAAAATTTCAGATCCAAGATGATCCAAGCCCAATATGATAGTTTGGCACCCAGAAGAAACTCCAAATGATTCCACCCAATGCGAGGTAACTCACCTATCATTTTCAAGTAGTGAAACAGTTCACCAGAAATTTACTGGGAAACTAGACGACGGATGGCCCGAGAGCGTAGAGGAGCAGGGTCTTCTCTTGTTAGTATGGAGACGCAATATTAGAAACGATATATGAAAGCTGTGTTATAGGCAGTCGAGAAGAGAAGTATCAAGACAAAATAGTGAGAAGTGCAAGACAATAGTTTGCATCGCAAACACTTTTACACACAGACGCTTTTACACAGACGCTTTTACACACAAAGCTTTTACCCACAGAAGCTTTTACACACAGAAGCTTTTACCCACAGAAGCTTTTACACACAGAAGCTTTTACATACAGAAGCTTTTACACACAGAAGCTTTTACATACAGAAGCTTTTACACACAGACGCTTCTACACAGACACTTTTACACACAGAAGCCTTTACACACAGGAGCTGCTTTTACATACAAACGCTTGTACACACAGAAGCTTTTACACATAGACGCTTTTACACACAGGCACTTGTACACACAAACACTTTTACACAAACACTTTTACACACAGACGCTTTTACGCGCAGACGCTTTTACACACAGAAGCCTTTACACACAGACACTTTTACACACAGACGGTTTTACATACAAAGACTTTTACGCAGAAACACTTTTACACACAGACGCTTTTACACACAGACGGTTTTACACACAAGCGCTTTTACACACAATCACTTGTACACACAGACGCTTTTACACACAGGCCGGCCCATGTACGCACAGCGAAGTCATCGTTGTCGTGGCCACCTCAGCAATCCGACGGGGTGGTGCGGCGAAGTCCTACTTCCATGTGACTCGAAACCAGCATCCATGAACCAGTCATGAGGGCTATGTGCTTTGGGGCCCCCCAACCAAGGTGGTTTGCCATCTCCCCAAAAAGAAGTATAAACGGGCGGACCTGGCAGGCGGCGACCGTTTCTGGGCTGGGACACACATAGTATTACAATATGATATAAGTTGGTTCTTTTTGGGTGTAGGGTCCTGACTCCTGACTGTGACTGGAATGGAAACTCTTATCTTAACACTCATACATCCATCTCTAGATATTAACAGTCATACATCCATCTTTATATCATATCTCTATCTCTATCTCAATATAAAATATATCGATTTGTCTCTTTGTGGTAGCAGCCTGCCTATCCATGTAATCCATCCCATCCCGGGGCCCTGACTCCATGCAAACCTAGCTGCACAATGCGGACCCGCAAAGCATTCAAGAACTATGACTAATGACTGTGACAGATCACATTCAGCGATGTCCCGGCACAACTATATGCGCAAAAGGAATCGGCAGCTTTATTGCTCTTCTATGGAGTCTCAGACCGTTCTGCTTGACTCACGCCGATGCACTATGGTGAGACAGGATGCACTATGGTGAAACTGAACGTCTCAAGCAAAGATGCGTGCATCAGCAAGTCTCAGACAGTTCTGGTTGACTCATGCTGATGCACTTCATTTTCAAATTCAATTGTCACGACGGCGTTGAGTCAGGCAAAGAACCGACCTGGCCCCCAGCCAGGGTGGGGGAACCATCCTATTCCCTCAAACAATTATAGGAGCAGGCCATAATTACATACGCAGTATCAAAGTCTGAAGCTAAGGCCTAAGGGTCTTAATTAGGACTCGATGATATGCACCACATCACAATACGTGACCAAGTGTGTAATGTCATGGCGAGCCTAATGGTGAGACAGGATGCACTATGGTGAAACTGAACGTCTCAAGCAAAGATGCGTGCATCAGCAAGTCTCAGACAGTTCTGGTTGACTCATGCTGATGCACTTCATTTTCAAATTCAATTGTCACGACGGCGTTGAGTCAGGCAAAGAACCGACCTGGCCCCCAGCCAGGGTGGGGGAACCATCCTATTCCCTCAAACAATTATAGGAGCAGGCCATAATTACATACGCAGTATCAAAGTCTGAAGCTAAGGCCTAAGGGTCTTAATTAGGACTCGATGATATGCACCACATCACAATACGTGACCAAGTGTGTAATGTCATGGCGAGCCTAACTAAAACTTTTTTTGTCCGTCCCGAGATTGTCCTGCAAAACCTTGAAGCGATCACTGCTTGCAGACTATCTCACAGCTGTTGCATGCCATTCAGCATGGTCGGGTCCACTGGCACTGTGCTGCAAAACGATGAGTCCGCGCCGTGCAAGCG